TGTTTTCCACTGGATATTGTGGAATGCTGGTGCGACAAAGTAAGCCAGTGCAAAGTTGAAGATCCAATTTGCCGAGGCAGATAAACCAACGCCCTTAGCACGGTACTTGAGTGGAAAAACTTCGGATGCATAGATCCATCCGACCGGTGCCTATTGTCTCTGGTTACTATGACGGAGAATTTGGAAGATTTGAATGTAGTCCATACCCAAGTAAAGCCGTATATACCGGTGAAGATATAGGAAAATGCAATAACAGTCATTCCAGAGCTGCCTTTGATGGACCATGTCAGGTTGTAATTTCCATTGACATTGGTGACCGAGTGGCCCCTGCTAGCCATAACACCAGCAATCACGAAGTGAATAACCATGCAGGTCACCGCGCCAGTTAGGAGCAAAGGTCGTCGACCAATTCGATCGATGTATGGGAGCATGATGCCGGTAGTAACCAGGAAGATGACATATTGAATAGCCGAAGACCAGAGAGTAGTGTTTCCAGTCTACTAATGTTAGTTGAGATTCTTTGCTAAAAAGAAAGAGGTGACTTACCATTCCGGCCATCTCAAAGATGTATACCACATAGTACATTGCAACATTGCCTCCAAGCAGCTGCTGCCACATTTGCACACTCATTCCACACATGGTCCGCTTCCAGATACGCGGCCCAAATAGAGCAAGGAACGAGATGTCCTTTGCTTGATGCGCAATTCTAGCGGCCTCTTGAACTTCTGCGAACTCAACCTGTACCACGGGGTCATTGCGATCGCCATTGCCATGAATCAGAGCAAGGTTCTCAAGGGCTTCCTCCCAGCGCTCCTTGCTGGCCAACCAGCGAGGTGATTCAGGGAAGAAGAATAGTGCGATAAAGAGAATCAGACCGGGGACAGCCTGAATACCCCAGCAAATTCGGAAGGCAGCTGGACCTGCCACACCTATCGAGCAACCGTAGGCAATGAGGTACATGATCAAGATACCCCATTCAATAGCCCATTGCTGAATACCGACAATGCGACCACGAATTTTTGCCGGGGCCAATTCGGATAGGTAAACACAAGTTTGTGAGGAAGTGACTCCCACTGCGAGACCACTAACAACACGACCAGCGACAAGATGTGTGACGTTTTGTGCACTGCATTGTACCATAGACCCAACAATCCAGACGAGAGAGGCGACCATGAGCGCGCCGCGACGGCCAAGGTAGTCGGATAACCAGCCGGCTGCAATGGAGCCTGCGAATGAACCGGCTGACATAGAAGCAGTGATCTAGAAATATTGAGGTTAGCTTGGTACGCTGGAATATCTTGAGAGTTGAAGGCTAATATACTCCTCCTTGAAGATTGGAATCCGGGTTCCCAAAGAATTCGGTATATGTGTCAATGCCAATCCAGGCACTCATCGAGCTGTACCGAGTCAGTGATGTCCAACCCTTGAGTCAATTGAATGATTCGCGTACCTCACATCGAAGCCGAAGAGTGCTCCGCCGATGGTGCCGAACGCGGCGAGGACTAGTCACAGGTTAGCATTAATTTTTGGATTAAGTGATTGAGAAATCGATGAGAAATACCGTAGATATTCGTAATTCGATACATCTTGGCAGCGGGCCTCGAAAGAAGTTGATCTTTCAAACCTCTCTGCAGCCCAAGGTAGCTTTATAAGTCAACATTATCGGTTCCACCGGTCAATGCACAGTTCGGGAAGGGCTTGAGAAGGAGCTCTAACTACGCCAACAAACGGTTGTGGCGGAATGAGATCGCACCACTTCTGAGCCGGGGCATGACCCGTCGTGGAAGGGATCGACCGGGGGAAATGTGGGAACGTGGAGGAATGGCCTGGAGGAGGATTCTGGGGCAGAAGTTGGGGAAGCGGGCGGCGTCATTGGCGGAGCACCCCTGTCTTCCAGACTTCCCCAGCCAGTCGGAGGAATTGCGGGGTCTTTCGGCTTCGGTTGCAGCCACTCTTTTAACCGAAGGCGAGATGCATTTAGCCGCCGAGTCGGTTTGAGACAGGTAAGGTTTCAGTTCATCTTTGCCGAGATTCTTCCAAAAGTCTCTCTCTACCAAGAGGTTGAGCTCTGGTCGCTGTGGAGGAAAACAGGAATAATTTGCCTATAGACGACATCTAGAACACTATACACGTAATTGTGCCATGTCGCGTCGTGTTGGGTTCAACATAGTATCGAAGATGGAAAGATTGCCTGTTTGTTCAGGGACCACCGATCGGCATGCCGACGTCATGGCCACCGACAATAGCCTGTTATTCTACCGGGGTGATTCGTGCCAGAAATTTGTTCGGATGTTGATAAATTAACGGCAGAATTTGGATTCGCTCACTCACTACAGAGTACTCCGTATGGTTATGCGTTGGTCAATCGGCCACCGATCCCGAGACACTATGCATCCCGCCGGAAGCAAATGAGAGGCAGTCTATTGATCTTGGCAGTGAATGGCCAGGTTGAAATTTCTCTCAATTTAAAGTTTCTTACGGAGTAGAGCTATCTTTCATACGATTTCCGGATCAATGGTTGTGTCATGTCTCAAGAAGTGAGGTGGGCGCGAATAATATGACAGCATGGTGAAATCAAACACGCGACGCCAGCGATGGGAATTATCCGAGCTGTGCTGCTAAATATGGTCAATTAAATCTCGATAAGCAGTAGCTTCCGACCCCTGTACATGGAGAATCAATCACACAATGTACCTACCTAGGTAATTCACAGATTATACGTGAAGGCTACGCAGCCGGTTCGACTCGTCCGTGATTCAAACCCCCCAGAAAGACTGTAATACATCATTTTGTACTACAGAGTACGCGTAAATTAACAGGTCGATGAATATCTGCCCTGATGACCAAAGGCTTATAGTTACAGCCATATCGTTTTTTGTTTGCACCCGAATATTGACCAGCCTAAGAGAATCATAACCACCCATGAAGGTAAGCTATTGTTCACGAATCGGCTCGCCTACCATAGGCCACATGGCGGCGCCACCAAGGAAATCAGCTTTTACGCACGGCATCCTGCCGAGCGGCCCGGGTGGTGATCTTACCGGACGATGGTGGCGTCTTTGAGAGGTCAGAGCACTACGCCACAAATATGGTTGTGGCTCTCAAAAATCTACTAATGCATAACCAATGCCTTGATTTCTGACACAATTTTTGAACTGCTTAAATATCAAGATAGGACGTCTATTGGGGCTAAATGACGGCTAATTCTTGGGTGTTGCATTGAGACCACCGGGTTATTTCCATTTTCAATGAGGCTGCTAGTACCCGAGCGCTCGCTCGCAATTTTCGATAACGTTGAATGTTCTTTTAAAACTGGGTTAAATCTGGCCGGAAAGCGTTTCTAGGAAATTTCAAAGCTCCATGTTGGGGGAAAATCTCCTACCAGCTAAAAATACTTATTGATCTTCCCCTTCGTTCATAAATTGCAATTGCCTTTCCTCTCCTTCAATTGCACCGGATCACTAGATAATTTTCAGCGGCCCGTGGACTGTAAATCCCAATATAGTTCCACCTACTATATTCTCCCATGTTCGTCGCAAAATTCGCTTGCTCTTATGATGTTACAATCCACGGATACGACCACCTCTCGCGTTATGCACTCACCATTCACCGCACTGTACATCCGAGGGGACTAGACATTCTTGCATGCGATAAAGACTAGATTAAATCCTCAACATCGCAGGAGTGGCGATTTAACTTATTCTTGTTTTTCGACTTTCTTGAACTTTGTCGGAATCGGGACTGAATAAAGTCAACACCTGAGACGATAAACCAAAACTAGTATTACTTCGAAGGTTATTCTTTTAGTTCGAATTCGTTACCACCCAGGCACCGTCCTCCACCGGATATTCCTCATCGGACTCGCCCATCAACATTGAGCTTGAATAGACCTGCATACCTAGGTACTAGTATCAAAGAAGCTTGGAAGCGGTCCCGAACTGATCAGCTGCATCATAGTAAGCAGCCGTTTGTTGAAATTACCACCCCATTGATCCAATAACTTGAATTCACCACTGGCATTTGGCTATAGGAGCTTGAAAAAACAGTACTAGTATGTGCCGCTTGCTCTACCAGGAGTAGTTATCTAGCCTACTCCGCCCGGGGCTGATCGAACCTTCCAAGGTTCAAGGTCCACGGGCGGAATTCAAGAAAACTTTTATTCCACATCTACCGCCCAGGAGTATTGATTACTGCATACTGCAATATTTCTACTGCCTCATCTTACTTAATTTATAGCAGGTCTATGCGATTGCGATCGGTGCGGTAGAAATAGTTAAGGAGAGTATCCATGGATGGCCCCACATGTTGCGGGGAAGCGGGGGAAACAGCCCCGTTTTATAGTTAGTACAACAGGGCAAAGCAAACAACAAATCTTGATACCACCCCAGAAACATCCGTGCTTCACAGATCGACCCTTTTAACTACCGGATTCTTTCAAATTACGACTCCTCAGTGGTACTCTACTATGTCACACATCGCGAGAATTGAACCACGAGGGTCGAATTGCATCACATCGCTTACAGAGCTTCCCCTTGCAGATATGATCTGGCTCTGGAATGTGGACGTGTTGAACGCGCCGTTCTGGATCGCGTCTGCTCCTCCCGCGCAATTTTGAACTGCCTTTTTTGCTTTCTCTTTGCTATCTTTCTTCGATTCTGAAGAACTTCCCCGCAATTTTGGTACTTTGGATACGGCTTGATCTGAAGATACATCGCGGCTGTACCTCACCTTTTCTCCCCTTCCCCCGCCCCTCGGTTGTCCGCAACCGACTCTTCTGATAATATCTGAAATGATATTGCATCGGTCTAGTGCTTCCCGAGGATGAGCTAGGAAAGTCTAAACTTTACTTAAAGCGTGACATTTCCGTCTCGGAATTCCCATCTGAATTCTCCGAGCGGAGGTTGTCTATAAATTGACAGATCGCTCGCTGTTGATGAGCCAGCCCCAACCTCGACCACACTCAAGCTAGTGCTAGCTGGTAATTATACACAGACGCAAACATGGGGCTCAAGACCTACTGCCTAGGTCTATCGCTCCTCTTCTTGAGCTTCTCGGTCCATGCAGAGAACATAACGAGCGACACTCACTTCTACGGACAATCGCCACCTGTTTATCCTTCTCGTATGTCGCGTCCCCATTCCCAGGTTGATTCATTCTACTAACAGTTATGTATCCAGCCGAAGGAACAGGGTCTGGTAATTGGGAATCCGCCTACCAAAAGGCCAAGGAGTTTGTTGGCAAATTATCTGCTGAAGAGAAGGTGAACTTGACTGCCGGAGTATCTGTCGAAAATGGATGTTCTGGGAATATTGCACCGATTGAACGCCTCGGTTTCCCTGGTTTCTGCGTCTCTGATGCTGGGAATGGACTAGTGAGTCTTTTTTGCATTCAGTTCGATCTAGTTCATTTCACTGACGATAGATCTCTAGAGGGGAACCGACTTCGTCAACAGCTGGCCAAGTGGGCTTCACGTGGGAGCCAGGTACGAATGATTACTTCTTGCACTGTTTACTCATCTCGCTCATTTATTTGACTAGTTGGAACAAAGATCTTGCAAAGAAACGTGGCGCACACATGGGCGCTGAGTTTCGTCGAAAGGGTGTCAATTTACTACTGGGCCCTGTGGTTGGTCCACTGGGTCGGGTTGCTGAGGGTGGTCGTAACTGGGAAGGCTTTTCCGATGACCCGTATCTTTCTGGTAGCTTGGTCTTTGATACCATCCAGGGTATACAGTCCGCGGGTGTCGGGGCTTCGACTAAGGTAAGTAATAACTTGGGTACCGCTGTGTGGTGTGGTAGGCTCGAAGTGTTCTGACCAGACTACAACCAGCATTATATCGGGAACGAGCAAGAGACCAATCGGAATCCAGAGACAAATGAACAAGGAGAGTATACCGAGGCGGTCTCGTCGAATATTGACGATAAGACTATGCATGAGCTCTACCTCTGGCCATTCCAGGATGCCGTGCTAGCTGGAAGTGCATCTATCATGTGTTCCTATCAGCGCATTAACAACTCGTACGGTTGTCAGAATAGCAAGACGCTTAATGGGCTTCTGAAGACTGAGTTGGGCTTTCAGGGTGAGTTCCGAAGCCTAATTTTCACTCTGTTCATCGCGACTAATAGCAATACAGGCTATGTTGTTACCGATTGGGGTGCTCAGCATGCTGGTATTGCTGGAGCGAATGCCGGTTTGGACATGGTCATGCCCTCATCACAGACGTGGGGGGATAACCTCACTATCGCAATCAAGAATGGTTCTATGGAAGCATCCAGATTGGATGATATGGCCACTCGGTAAGCCAGGGCTTAGATATTCGCAGAATCGAATCTGGAAATAGACTAACTAGCCATACTTCCAGTATTATTGCGACTTGGTACCAACTCGATCAAGTTGAAGGAATCAAGAACCCGGGAATCGGAATGCCATCAGATATTACCGCACCGCACAAGCAGGTGATCGGAAAATCCCCAGACTCCAAGCCCATCCTTCTCCAAGGGGCAATCGAGGGACATGTTCTTGTCAAGAACACTGACAGCGCCCTCCCCCTTAAATCCCCCAATATGGTTTCGGTATTTGGATACGACGCTGCCACCTCGGATTTCCTCGAAGTGTCGCTCGCCCAACAACAAGACAGCCCACTTTACCAAAATAGCACACTTTACGTTGCCGGGGGATCTGGTGCCGGCTCTGCAGCATACATCGACGCTCCAATCGATGCCATCCAACGTCAGGCTTATGAAGACGACTCGTCCGTCATGTATAACTTCTACGATCAGAATCCCGATGTGGATGCGAGTTCTGACGTCTGTGTTGTTCTCGTCAATGATTATGCGACCGAGGGCTTTGATCGCCCCGGATTGAGCGATGAATACAGCGATACGCTCATCACAAACATCGCGAGTAAATGCGCCAACACGGTAGTCGTCATTCACAACGCTGGAATTCGCGTCGTCGATAATTGGATCGAGAATTCGAATGTCACTGCTGTTATCTTTGCCCATCTTCCAGGCCAGGATACGGGTCGTGCTCTGGTGGATATTCTTTATGGTCGCGCTAATCCCTCCGGTCGTCTTCCTTATACTGTGGCTAAGAAGGCGTCGGACTATGGTGATCTTCTCTCCCCGACACAGCCGGACGGTGATTATTGGCTTTTCCCTCAGTCGGACTTTACTGAGGGTCAGTTTATTGATTATCGGGCTTTTGATAAGAAGGGAATTCCTCCACGCTTTGAGTTTGGATATGGATTGTCTTATACGAGCTTCAAGTACTCTGGTCTGCAGACTAAGAGCTCGGGTAAATCCAGTTCGAAGTATCCTCCATCTGCAAATATTGTCGAGGGCGGAAACCCGCATTTGTGGGACGTGTTGATGACAGTCACTGCCGAGGTGCAGAATGCCGGTAGTATGGACGGTGATGAGGTTACTCAGTTGTATCTTGGAATTCCTGGCGGTCCTGTTCGCCAACTTCGTGGATTTGAGAAGGTCTCTATCGCCAGTGGGCAAAGCGAGTCTGTCACTTTCTCGCTCACGCGGAGGGATCTGAGTAGTTGGGACGTGAATGCCCAGGAATGGGCTTTGCAGGATGGACAGTACAAGGTTTACGTTGGACGATCTAGCCGTGATCTGCCTTTAACCGCCTCTTTCTCCATCTAATGTCGCAGAGGGCAGAAGATCCTTCGTCGTGAGAGGTATAGCTTCTCTAGGATCAATAAGACTCAAACCATGCATGTAGCCATTGATTTTCATCTCCCCATTGGAAAAGAAACAATCGGTCTATAGGGGCAAGGGTTTCGCAGAAAATTGTAATCCATACACGGCATCGGATGCCCTGGAGGTGAGGAAAAGCATCTGGGAACAAAAACCTTGGAAGGAAAACCCTTTCAGGGCTCTTGCTCTAGGCCTGTGCACCTGAATTGTGCGAGTATGTCTGTTCAGGGTCTGGACTATCCTCCGTCTGCGTATTCAAATTGAAAGTGATATGGTATCAAATATCATTCTATGAGATCTATGTCATCTCTAGTCTACCCATTCAAACATGTACAAGAAATTTAGGGCAAAAATACAGCATCGGGAATCGAAAACGTGAAAGGAGAGGGGCGGCGATCAAAGCTTGCTCTTGCCAGGCTGGTTCTTGAGAACATTCTCATTCCAAGGATAGGGGTCGAAAGTCAGGTCGTTAACGGGGTTCTGTTGGCTGGCACGGTGGAACAGGTCCTCGTAAACCTTGCCGTCCGATCGGCCCAGACTGCTGTCGAGTTGCCAGTCGGGAATAGCCCAAGCGTCGACAAGACGAATAGCGTGGGGGCGTATCTCGTCGAGCAACTTCATGACGGCAACGGTGCGGGTGAGGGTGATCTGGCGCACAGTCACAGCACCAGAGGAGAAGAACTCGGCGGCTTCGCGCTCGAGAGTGTGGAGGGCGTAGAGGCGGAAGAGAGAGTGCATGATGGTCTTGGAATCGGAGTCAAGGGACTGCGACAGGTTGGGCGAGGAGACAGCTTCGTAGAAGTTCCTCACAATCATGTACTGGGAGTGAGCAGTGGACAGACGCCAGAAGTCGACCAGCAGGCTGTTCCACGAGCGCTTCTCAGCATCGCGGTGCTTCAGGGCCTCAAAGGTGAGGTGGGCAGTGCGCCAAGCGAAGGCATCCACAATATCAGCATCGTTCTCGAGGATATCGAAAGAGGCACCCTTCTCGCGGCGGTCAAGGTAGTTGCGGAGGATACGTGAAGTGTCATTATCAGCAGACTTGCCGGAAAGAACGGCACGTGCAGACTTGAGCAGGTAACGAGCGACCTGCTGGGTGAGCATGTAGTTGTCACCCTCCCAAGTCAGAGTAGGAAGGTAGTCAGCGTAGTATGAGCCGATACCGCTGTAGCTGCTGTAACCGTGGCCACCACAAGCACGGCGACAGACCTCAAGACCCTCACCAGCAGTGGTACTGGCAAGTGCCTTCAGACCGCAGGAAGTAGCGTGCAGGTCGGCGAGGAGATCAGCTCCTGCGCGAAGCTCCTCGGGACCAGCACCACGCGAATCTTGACCAGGGGAAGCGGCAGCCTTCATGCGCTGCTGGTTCTCCTCGTACAAACGCATCATACCGCGGCCGGTGAAGTGAAGAGCGTACATGGATGCCAGGAGCGGCAGAAGACGGACCTGCACCATCTTGTAGTTGAGAACCTGGTTCTCTCCGGCGTTGACGTCGGCATCGCGATCCTGGAATTGTCTGCGCACAGCGGCGTAACGAGTAGCGATGGTCACACCGCGAGCCAGGACGCCACCGGACTGCAGAACAATGTTGGAGCGCACCCAAGTGAGGGTGCCGTAGACGAGGGTAGGGAGGGCGGGGCGGATATATTTGTTGGTCTCCTTGTCGATACGGGAGAAACGGGCAAGCATGTTGACGTGGGGGATCTCGACGTTGTTGAAGAGAAGGAACCCGTTGTCCATGGTGCTGGGAAATGGTTAGTCATTGCTTGATGCGTGGTTTTGCAGAGTGTGGACTACTTACTTGTAGCCAAACTTGGGACCAATGTCACCAACGTAGACGTTCTCCAGAGGCTGGTGTGTCTCCAGGTCACGAACTTGCACCACGAAAGGATGGGGACCGTAGTTCTTTCCTCCAATGAATAGCTGGGCCATAACGACAGCATGATTGGCAGTACGACCGAGGGAGCCAATCCACCACTTGGAAGCAGTGAGGGTAGGGGAGTGGATGGTGAAAGTCTTCTTGTCGGGGTTCCAGGTGGCGGTGGTCTCGAGACCACGGACGTTGGAGCCGTGGCCCAGCTCGGTTTGTGCGTAGCAGCCGATGATCTCGTATTTGGCGGCGCGCTCAAGGAAGAGCTTGTGTTGTTCCGGGCTACCTTGTTCACGGAGGGTCACCTAGAATTGAAAATGGCCAGTTAGCATCGGTTCATCGGTTCATGGAACATAGAGGATGGATCTTACCAGGAACATGCTGGCATGCAGACCATATGGAGTAGGTTCACCAATCAGCTCATTGGCGGCATGGAGCTCCTCCATGGACCATTGGTGCTTCTCAGCCAGCTGTTGCAGGCGCTTGGCCTTGGCCAGCGATCGCTGAAGACGCTCAACGCGACCGAGGGAGTGGTTCTGGGACTTGTCGAAGACCTTCTCAGGCTGGAGGAGCTTCACCAGCTGGTCTTGACGCTGTAGGAACTCCTTTGTGTGCAGTAATTCGGAGAGCTTATCGACATTGATGTTGGATTGGGCACGCTCTTGAGCGAGCAATTCGGAACCCTGCGGGCCCGCGGGGGTAAGGGCCTTGACCCAATCAGGAGGAGGAGAAGGCATTGTGAAGATGTGGAGGGAGGGGAAAGGGAGAAGTGAAAGATAGAGAAGAAGGAGAAGAAGGGAGAAGAGGTTCAAGATATGAAGTGAGTGAAGTTGGGGAAGGCGGGTGACGTTTCTAGGCCGAGGAATTCCCAAAAAGGAAAGTGCCGAGGCTGTCCCAATCGGGTCAAGCGCCGAATAAGGCCGAGCGCGCAGAGAGAATTAAAGTAGAGAAGACTGTACTTAAGTAGAATATACTTGATATTAATACTAGAGAGCGAATAGCATGCTATATTCTGTTCTATATCAAGTATAGAATACTCCATATTCTCACCCCCATCAGTGTCTCCCCCTATCCACATCCACATCCCCAGCTTGCGGGGTGTCGGCTGGGGCAGTCCCGGGGTCACCCAACCCCGAAATCGGGGCCCCCATCTTAACTAGGTTTAGCGTGGCTCCCGCCGACTTTGTTAAGACAGACAAATTTAGAGTCATCGATAGTCACTTGGCTAGTCGCCTAGTCCCCCTGGTCGGCTGATTCTCCGGCGAAAGCCGAACCCTTACACCAAGTCGACGGGTCAGCCATTTGACCTCGGTTCAGCCCCGGTTGTACTCCATACATGCTTACCGGTCGAATGGCCCTACAAACACACTCTACAGCCCCAATATTTACATCCCTGCCACTAAGATAGTCTGCAGTAGTCTACTAGTGAATGCGGCTGTCTAAAATATGTGCCGAACACCTGAACTCTCTCTTCGGGGCAAGCCGAATGGCCGGGAAATCCTTAGTTGGGCAAAATAATGCTGGAGATGGAAATATAATCTTCATGATGACATTTTCTATCAATTCCGCTAATTTGAAGAGCTCCACGAAGTTCGCTCAATACAAGCGACCTTGGAAAACATTCGAAGGAGCCCTTCGGAGCACAGCGGCTCGGAATACTCAAGTACTCTCGGATCAGATAAGCTAATCGGGTCCCGACTATCACATGTTCACATGTCAGCACTGTTCTGCTTGTGAAAACACACACAAAAAAAATTGTGAACGTGTCAAATGGTCAATTCGGTGCACCCAAAATGTCATAATTTCATTCATTTCACCCGTTCAGTGCCCGTGATCAAAAAACACATGATGTTTTAAGGGGCCTCGCATTCTCGCCGCATTATTCCGACTCAATCATCCCGCTGCTCTTTCGATACCCGCGGTAGTCCCAACCACATGAGGAAGATAGCTCCGGATAGAGCTATGATGAATGGCTGTAACACTTGAACACCCTTTGCCTGCGCCAGTGCACCTACAGCAAATGGCAGAATCGCAGCCCCGGACCCTCCAAATGCCGCTGCAAATCCTATCGAACTGACATGCAAGTGTCGAGGTAACAGTTTGGCGATCATCACCACGACACCGGGAAAAAGGGGGCCTAGGAAGAAACCCTGAAGCGAGACTGCGACTGCCGATGCATAAAATTGTGGCACAAGCCAGAGGACGAGTCCAAAGGCGATGGATAGCAGGATATATGCCTATGATCGCATATCGTTAGCGTGGACTGCTCCATGCTCGTCTAAACAATTGAGAAACGAGGATATGGAAGAGAAACCCACTGAAATCGCCAACTTCTCTCTCCTACTCGCGGCGTCACAAAGCCCAGTAGAATCCGTCCGACTGTGATACCTAACCAGAACCCAGTCGCTGTCATTCCACTGGCGAAAGCGCCCCCGTTTCGCACGCGAATCATGAAGGTCACAATCCATCCACCCAGCGCAACTTCCACACCCACGTATCCGAGCAAGAACGCCGCGCACAGCCAAGTGACTCGTGCAGAGGGGCGTGTAAAGAGTGCTGTCCTGAGTCCACCCTTTTTACTATCGCCACCGGTGTCGGCCCTCGCTTGTCGGAAGACTGCGCCTGTTGCTTTCCAAAAGCAGGTGCCACAAACGATGAGTTCAATGGCCGCGCAACCGACCTAGGGAAGACAGATACCATGAGCGAAAGTCCAGAGATTCATTGCGAAAACAGCTTACCATGACGAAATAAAAGTAATACCAGGGCATATTTGCCCGCGCGATCATCGATGTCGCAATCAGCGGACTCAGCACAGCTCCTAATCCATATATACCATGCAACAGTCCAAGTAACTCATTTGAATGAGCCATGTTCCCGATCCACGCGTTCCATGCTGCGTCCTCGAGGCCGTTGCCGAAGCCGGCGAAGATGAAGGAGATCACAAGGACTGGGTAGGGAGGATGGACGCAGTTGACGATATAGGCGAGTAGATGGCACCCTGGTCCGATCAAAGCGGGGCCGCGCTGTCCAAGCGAGGTGTGAATTCGATTGTTAAGGAATGCTGCAAGAACATATCCGACCAGCGGAGACAGAAAGACGAGAGACACAACTGTGTAGGAGAGGTTGTAATATGATTCAAGCTAGGCTCATTAGCATGGGACTTCAAATTTTCAAGGTAAAAATCTCAGGTCTTGGTATTACATATGGGATCAAAGCCTGCGAAAACCAGATTAGCAAACACATAAGCGAAAATCCCTCTGGGATAGGTTGTTTCAAACTTCAAGGTATTCTCCCGGATTGTCTCACTTACACCGTATGCCGCATCATTCGCGCCCATTACCAGGAAGCTGAAGAAAGTCGCAAACGAGCGATATGCATTGATCCGAGGCTCATTCCACTTCTCCAGCGCCGCAAATCCCTCATGGGATGTTTCGGACGAATCTGTTCTTGAGCGCTCACTCGGAGGCAAAGTCTGGAGAGTGATTGTGTTGGCATCGCGCGACTGCTCCTGCACTACACAAGTGGAGGCCATGATTCAACTGAAGTGAGCTTGAACGTGTAGTTACCCCGCAAATAGCATCGGAGAAAAACCGCAATGTTAGTATCTGCAAGGGGACTGATGCGAATCCGAATTCGAAACTGCAAGGAGTTGAGATGAAACGTGCGACCACGACCGAATCTCGACTTTATACCAGCTAAGCTTGCTAGCTAACAAGGCTCTTTCACTGCTGATTTGGGCATTGATTTCACTGGCTGGGAGGTCCTTTTCTTGCCACCGCATCGTTCTGAGGGGTTTGCTTGGCGGTGGAGCATCGCCCGCTTTGCCGCTTGCGGAAACTCTCCGATGCGCTCACCTACTCTTTTTGGGTAAAGAGAGCGCAAATCGAGATTCGGCGATGGGGAGTGGAATATTCCATGGGGAATATCGGACTTAATGCAAGAGCCTGCCACAAGTCAATGGACAAGCCTGGACTTTGACCATCTTTTTTGACGGACCGGGATTGGCTCTCAGCTAGGGTAATTAGGGGCCTTCAAAACACGGCATACATATGTTTGACTTCGAATACCCTGGTATAAATAGCCTAAATCGAAGCAGAGCCCTGAAATTTGCTTTCCACGTCAAAAGTTTGGAAATTGGGCTTAATATATGGTAAAGCCATGAGTTCCACCTCCTCGTGTCTTTTACCAGATGTATTATTTATCCACCAATGAGCTTCAAAGAGATCCAATACCTCCGCATTTAAATCAATTGAGACCCGTTCAATCAGCATAGCTCAGTAAAATTACAATGAGTTTCACCAACCCCATAATTCCGGGGTTCAATCCCGATCCCTCTATTGTTCGAGTTGATCAAGACTATTTTTTGGTGACATCAACCTTTGAATACTTTCCTGGGGCCCCAATTTATCATAGCCGGGATCTGATAAAATGGAAACTGATTGGACACGCGTTAACAAGACCGAGCCAACTTCAAATTCACACCCCGGAACCTGGAGGTGGTGTATGGGCTACAACAATTCGCTATCACAGCGGCGTATTCTACATCGTCACGGCTAGCTTCCACCGTTATCGCCCCCAGCACGACGATCGGGTCTGGCCCCAAGGATTTTATGTCAAAACAAACAATATATGGGATGATAGTACCTGGTCGGATCCTGTTTATTTTGACCAGGTTGGATTCGATCAAGACGTGAGTATTCCCGAGCTCACGACGGGATCGACATTACTAAAAAAAAAATGAAATGACATAGCTTTTTTGGGACGACGATGAAACTGTGTACCTTTCATCCACCTATCGCAAGCTTAAGCCCACACCTGGGGCTAAACTGAAGGATTTCGCCATTCACATATGCACCGTTGATCTTGAAACCGGGCACTCGACGTCCGAGCCAAAATTGATTCGCGAGTCTTCTTCCGGGGTTGCAGAAGGCTCTCATATTTTTAGAAGGGGCCAATACTGGTATCTTTTCACCGCTGAGGGTGGCACCGAGAGCGGACATTGTGAATGGGTTAGTCGCAGCGAAAGTGGACCCTTGGGCCCTTGGGTGTTGGGGCCCAATAATCCCCTTTGGCGCAATGGGTTGGAAGACGAAGTACAAAACACAGGACATGCAGATCTAGTCGAAGACAGAGATGGAAATTGGTGGGCGGTACTCCTTGGTGTTCGACCTGTGAGAAAAGAGGGTGGATGGGAAGATTCTGTGCTCGGTATGTCCATTCCTACAACCGTGACGATCATTTATTTACCAGATATGATAGGCCGAGAATCATTCCTAGTTCCGGTCTCATGGGAGAACGACTGGCCAGTGATAAATGGAGGAAACAAGATTACCCTTCAATCAACCGGTCCGGGTCTTTACCAGCATATCGTACCCGTACAGTGGAGAGATGACTTCTCTAGCCCGAGCATGCAACTGGGATGGTACAGGAAGAGTGAGTTGGCTTATCATTCAGAAGGCTATTTGCTGATTATCTGTATCTAGACACTCCGTTCACATCCGATTTCTCACTGACCGAGCGACCTAATCATCTGCGGCTTTACGGTGGGCCATATGATCTTGCTGTTCCGGCTTGTCCAACACTATTCTTACGCAAGCAGACCCATCTCGTCTGCACGTGGGAGACAAAGTTATCATTCAACCCAACCTCAGAGCATACAGAAGCAGGCACTGTCCTATGGTGGAATTATTTCACGTACACCTGTCTGGGAATTCGCGCACAAGGGGGAAGCGAATTATCCGATTTCAGCCATCAGAGGACAACATTGTGGAAGAGGAGATAGACTTGACCTCGGATGTGATATTAACTATCCAGTGTGGTAGTGAGTATCGTTTTGGATATCGTCAGCAGAATCTTGCAGATATCAGGTGGGTCGGGACTATCTCCAACAAAGCAGCGACAAAAGCACCTCCCATTGGAGCCTGTTTCACCGGGATGATGTTTGGGCTATATGCATTTGGTGAACGCCATCGAGTCTTGAGCCCTGCGGATTTTGAATATGCGCAAGTCTCATAGATGCGGTCCGAGTCTTCTACAGCTTTTCAATCTATATTATCAGTGCCGGTTACTAGATGGTTAGCAGCCAGCAATTTCCAAGTTCTAGATTTTATTTCTTATTGACTACGGCCCCGGGCCTGCGTTTAAGCTGGACTTCAAGTTCTTACTAGAAATCCATGTTGTATTATCTACCTGGGTACTTCGCATAAATTATCACAATGTATACTATATAGTGTAGCAGGAAGTAGTATGATCTCAGGGGCTATTATCTTGCTACTACCTACCTAAGTAGGCTTGTCCTCCAATGTTACTGTAGCATTGAGAAATGTGTCACGGCCACGGTGGATATTACACAGTCAAAATTCAAAATAACCTGGCATCCCGATAACTGTAACACACTTCAACCATAGTACTAGCATAATCTCACCAAGTGATAGAAGAAAATTGGTCATGGACGGACTAGGCGAAGCAGCTTTCGAGATTAGTGTATAAAACAATGCCCGGTTCCATTGTTCAGCGCAGAGGATTCTGAGCAGCTCCGATTCAAATCATCCAGTCACCCAGGCAACCTCCAGTGGAAATTTCAAACCTTGGAAATCAAAGTTTCTTTCGATATTCTCTAGTAAAATGCAGATTCCACACGCTATAGTGAATGTTATTTCGATCTGTGCTGTACTCGTCACAGGCCTTCCTCAGGCTGAGCCTGGTGATTCTCAGAGTTGGCATTTTTCTAAAATTTGGGAAAATTAGAGAGTTCTGATAAGCCCATTAGATCTTCTACAATGTCGCCGTGTTCTGGACGCCGCTCTATCCCAGGAGTTGTCCATGGAGAAACACGGCATTCATGATCTGCAGGACAGGCAAGCCGCAGACCCACCAAATGGAATAGAAACTATCTATGAAGGCGTAATTCCATCTTCTCTTTCTGATATTTTCTGACCTGGAGCCTGAAATCGACATTGCTAATCATATTACGTAGTACTGTTCGGCAGGCCATACCCAAAGATGTAACTTCTGTCTTAACGGACGGATGTACTGGGGAAAATGTGCGCAAAACCACCGAGTAAGTGAACCGCCCCTGCGATTGAAAAATTGCTTTAACAAACACACCACAGTGCACGCGGACTGGAAACTACTGTAACTATTCTGATAGAGATAGAAATGGTATTTGTAGCTAGGTTGGAATTTCATGCACTGTTTGTTCTTCGGAGCTATTCTACAACGAAGAAGCACAACTTGAAATCTAGTAGGACTTACTGCTCCAAATATTTTCTTGATATAAATCATAGATAACCTTGGAAGGCATAACTTTTAATTATTCACAAGGTAGATAATACATTTGAATAATGGTCAAAAAGAAAGGACTAATAAATAGAGTACGGCATACCCGCAGCGCGTGAGGGTACGCCTTATCTTCAATTCAAGCATACCCACAGCAGCACGGAGTAAAGGGAATAGCTAAATAGTAGTAGTAGTGCTGCAACTACTTCACATGGGAAAAGCCTCCAAAATTTGTGGGGCCTCAAACCTTATATGTGCACATTCTGACGTATCATGCTTCAGTTTTGAGCCCGTCCTGTGTAACAGAACATGGAGGGGGTACTCCCTTAGACCAAGACGTATAAGTTGTAAGAAAGCCCAGGGCTTGATCTCAGCACTTCCATCGACTTGACAATGCAAATATTTTGAGTGACATTAGCGTGCTGAGTCATCCCGTATACAAGTCCTCGCCTCATCATTACCATTCACCATTCACTTTTCGCCTATCTTCATCCTTGCTCATACCCTCATAATACAATCTTCCGTCATGAATACTGAACAGCATGAATCAGTTCCACCCCCGAGGGTATCTGGATACTTGACGATACTGGGAAAACCCTCAGATTCGTGTCTGAGGAAGAGCTCGAGAATGCTACCGAAGCTACTGCTAGCACGAAATCGAAAGTGACACCCGCCGAGGTTATCACTGAATACCTTTCCAACCTGAGCCCCCCCTCAAAAGACCATTCAAGACAAGCTCTGCGAGCTGGGCTGGGATGAAGCCGCCATTTACAACATGCTCACTCTTCTTGAAAATCAACAGCGATATAACTGCGCAAAGCTCCGCCAGATGGGATACACCGAAACGGAAATTCAAAGGCTCGACGCGCTCGGCAATCAAAATATGAATGATTTCTCGCATCTCGAGCGTGGAACTGCCAGTGCAGGCGATGGAGAATATCAACTGCAGCTGTATCTGCTGGAAGAAGCGAAGCGAAGACGTTTGGTGATGCTCGGAGAAGAATAAGCGGAAGACAAGAAAACCTGCGAGGCCAAGAGGCAAAGTTCTAGTGTGGTAGCCCGAGTATCCCCTTTCTTTTATCCAAGCCATTGAAAACACAAAGGTCGATGGTCTTTTCTAACAGCGTTCAAAGGAAACCCCCCATGGGGGTATGTGTATCAATATCTAATAAGGAATTCTGAATTTGAAGTAGTATTCAAAACAACTCTCATCGTCGTAACTTATGAAAATATTTTGTGCGACGCTGTATCAATAACAGACATTTCCGTTCTTCAGCTATTCTCGGCCACATCGAAATTGCTTTCACTTTGGGCCAGTCTCGGCTGGGTGACGGTCGCTCAGTACGGGTTTGCTCTATGAATTATTCCTCCTTCTTCCCTCTAAGCGTACTCTCCATTTATCATTTAGTAAATCACGAATCTCAGAAATAAGTACCTAGATATCTACTGGTAACTAGAAATTGAAGTAGGTACTATAAAGGAACTATAAGTCCCAGATACACGGTTGCACACTGAGCCCTGGCAGTATCTCTCCGTTTGTCTCGGGATCTCCCCGAGATTATCCCGAGATTAACCCCGTGATTAACCCCGAGATCCCTGAATACCGATAGACCCGCTTCGACATGGCTCTGATTGGCAGCGGTGCGTCTCTCTGCGTCACCTGTCCGCCAAAATCCAGACGGTCGCTTCAACTTCTACTTCTCCATCTCACCTTGCTGACGCTTTAGTAGTGCTGATCGTGACAATGGCTAGTTCCCCACAATTAACTAAACAAAGTCCAATCGATGATGACAAGGCTGAAGACGACTGGTCAGGTCTAACCGACCCGGCAGAACGCCGCAGACGACAAAATCGAATTAATCAGCGTGCCCGCCGTACGTGTAATCTGATCGAGAGCGCGCATTTCAAGAATATGTAGCTAACAATCTGCTCGCGGTATAGGAAGACGACAACGATCCGAGGCGAATAAAGACATCCACCCGAAAAGTGTAGTCGCCTCCGCGCCCCCATCCTCCGCGACCGCACTTGTCCGCTCGAAAGAGAGTAGCGCCCTGGAGAATGGCGATCGGCGCTTCAAAAACGATTTTCTACGCGCCTTGATGAATAGATTCACCAGTACGGCATATGAAAGCTATATAACCGGCTCACCGACCTCGGATCACCTCTTAACCCTCACCAAAGTCAATGTTTTTCGCGCATTTGGGAATAACCTTCGCATGGCTGGGGGCTGCTTGGACAATATGGACGATGACTCGATCTCTCACTTCAATACGGAGGCACCGAGGAATAAATTATTGGAAGACAATATGCCGGTTAGCTTGCGACCGACGCGAGTTCAAAAAGCCATACCACACCACCCTGGCTAGACTTCTTCCCTCTACCTAGAATGCGCGACAACATGATCCAAGCGGGCGATGAATGGGATGATGAAAAACTTTGCACTGATATAATGGGATTCTGGAATATAGGTTCCGCAGAGAACTCAGGTCTGATCGTCTGGGGTGAACCGTGGGATATCAATAATTGGGAGCTTACCGAAGCCTTTCTCAAGAAATGGGCTTGGATTGTACGTGGGTGCCCCGAGTTGATGATATCCACGAATAAATGGCGGTCAAAGCGGGGAGAGAAGCCCATTTTCCGCTATATCTAAGGATATTGGAAAAGACGAAGTGAATACCGCGAGCGAATGAACGAATGAACGAATGAAGAGCATCGGATGAAGCCCAGTAATATTTTTGCATGGCCCTTCATAGCACCTGTTGTCCCAAGTTTATTGGGATCATACTCGGCTCACGATCTGATCCTAGGCCTTGGGATAGTATGGAAATTTCCTCGCTATCTAGAGCGACACCTGGAATCCTATATACCCGGCTCGTCTGTTGATTCATAGGCAGTGGAAGTCGAGTCGCACAGTCCGTGTAGACGAAGATTGTCGTACCATCGACAGTACCATCTGGATTGAGCCGTAGATCATCTACGCAATAATCATCTAGATTATGCATATTTCCACTGCAATGATCCGCTTCGGGTTGCTGGAAGGACATTGTTCCACTAGGAGAATATAATTTCAAGTTAGCTTGGTCTTCTTCTACCAATCCTCATCCCACAACTATAAACGAAGATGAATAGTAAGATAACTTACCAAACTGTCCTCTCAATGGAAACCCAACTCCAATACCCACACTGTCCATCCTTCAAAGGCTTTTCGAGAGCCATCTTTCGAGGTCCAACATCGGATGTCAACTTAGACTGCCAGCCTCCACTGATCCCATCATTCAGACCCTTTTCAAAATTTGGATTCATATCAATAGACCAAGTCAACGTTTTCGTGAATTCAGCAATTTCACAAGGTGGCCCATCACACCAAACGCCCAAAGGAAACTCTCTCCCATAGATGAATCGAGTTGAAAGCTGACAAAACGCCAGGCAGGAATTTGTCTGGTAATCTATATGATCACATACACCCTCCGAGCTCGGCTCATACTTCGGCCGACAAATATCACTGAGATATCGGTGGTAAAGGACCGGTGTATCGTCAATTCCGTCGCATACGTCTCTGCGAAGGAGCTTGTGGGGCCGCTTCTGTTCCTGAGATGTGGCAGTCCCATGCACAGAAAAGAGGAGATATATCAGGGCAAATAATTTGTACATAGTCAAAGCTGTTACCGAGATGATCGTTGTGGAGGGAAGTGATAGAATTGCAGAGACACATGGTGACTGCGGCCCGTCGTGGCCCCAATATAGCGTCTCACGAGGTGGGGCGTGACTGTGCTACTACTACTTGTACAAATCCTGCTGCAAGGGGCCATTGATTTCAATCCTTGTTAGTCCCAAAAGCCACCCGTGGACTCCATTTAGTATGTATCAGCCTTGTTGGATATGGGCTTGCAAGGTTCGAGACCTGCGACATAGGATTTGGACCCATTGCCTGGAAATAGTTCAAATGATACTAATTGTACAGAGGTAGTCTCGATAATCCTCCGGGGCGGGATCTGCGAGTTGCAGTTAGTATTGATTTCCATTCGAGTGCCCAGTTGCTTAGGTGGCGACGGGGACCATAATTTGGACCTTATCCATATCGATTCAGACCCGTAGATGACAGCCCTGGAGGGAAGAGGGAGGGAAAAGGGAACGGTCATTTGGGGGCCTGGCTACTCTGACGCCGAAGCGACTGCTCGTGCTCTGGCACACACAAAGACTTTGAAGGATGGCCAATGCGGCTATTTCACTTGGGTGCCCATAATAAAGGAAAAATGGTACGTTAAATATCTGATTTCGATTAACTATATCAAAAATGCTAATGATGATCTAAAGCGGGACCATGTCATCCAAAAGAAAAACTCCAACCACTTGCTTTGGCGAGGCGAAAAACATCGGCAATTACTGTGCACAGCAGCTCCAACTTAATGATAACGGATCATCCGATGGATCAACCATATTTGTATGGGTTGAGTGTGATACTCGACTTCCATTGCCGATGGATAAGCAGACAAGCTCAATTTATAAGAAACCAGGTGTCTCCAGAAAGCGGGGTGGGCAGTACGCTTATGCCCTAGACTTGGGACGACAAACTGGTACTGCTTCTGGATGTAATGCTGGTCCGTATGTCCACCTTTAAGAAGGTAGTGATTGCTCGGCCTCAAGTAAGACCGTTGTCACATGCTATGATTGGGCTGAGGATAAATGTTGCAAATCTGGTATTATACAGAAGAATGCTGTTTAAATTGGAGGAAAGACAAAGACCCTGGTTAATTATCAGAATTTGATTCGGGATAATCCTAGCGGTGCACCTGGGAAATATTGCACAACAATTGAGGGTTCAGCCCAAGCAGATGAAGCAGGAAAGGGTGCGTGTGTATCTGGTGAAGTTGGAGCCGGGAGGTGCTTCTTGGCTCGAAAGCTATCGGCTGCCCGTCGCTTGCAGCTTGTTCTGGGCCCGAGCGCCGCTCTTTGGGAACCAATGGAGCGGTGGCTACAAGCAGTCAAGAGCCAACTAAATGTAAGGATCATGCATTCGGTGATCATATCGCCTATCCAGAGGAAGGTGGTGTTTTGGCGATTCCGGGAGAATGGGTCGAGAAGTGGAAGCATGTCATCGCTGCCATTCCTGCTACCAACGAAGCCCGAGCTGCAGATTCGATAAGATGGGCGCACTTTGATACCCAACTGTGGCTGATTATTCGTCAGCTTTGAACGAGGACGGGACATCAAAGTAACGACCGTGGCATCCATTGGGTGATATTATCTGGACAGGCCATTACTATTACTCAAAGGGACGGATAGAACATAGTAATAGTATTAGAGTGGAGATATGGAGAAGAATGGAGTTGAAGAAGGAGCCCCAGAGGGTGGCTCCCGGGTAACTGTATAAAAAGAGCACAGGCCTAGTTTGTTTTCATATGTTCTCATCTAAAGCTAGACATCATTGTTTCCCAATATCGCTCTTGCCAGGTTTCTATCCACTTTCCCACTGCCTGAGTAAAAGGTGCCTCGGAGTACGGTATTCAGTCAATCGGTAGCCAGAGGGGAGTCCTTACCCTAGAGGGCACGAACGAGGAGAAAGAAACAACAACGCGGTCATTAGATGAGGGAGACGAGACGATAAAAAAATGGAAGCCTGTAAGAAGAGATGGGAGGGCAGCACGATGACCTGCATACCTGAAGCATCCAGTCCCAGACAGCTTTGGAAAATGTGTGCTTTATGCTTTTCGGATCTATAAAAAGCCTAGAAATACAAACTCAAATCCCCTCGAAGTAGCAAGTGACTGAGCTTAGCTACTGAGGAGGAAGTTTTGGTACCTAACGAGCAGCGGATTGGTAAGAGGTTACATGCCAGAAGATACCCTGCTCCTAATAACGAAACCAGTCTAGGTACAAGTGCAGGTCACTAATTTCGGACAGCTCACATGCTAACGTGTTACACGTAGGTGAAGATCTGATCGGAATTAAGCTATGCGCATTTGTAGAGTAGGTGAAGATCTCATCGGAATTAAGCTATGCGCATTTGAGATTGAGAAAGAATTATTGTATTGGTTTCATCTACGTTGATCAGTCTCTCACCACCGATTTCACGCCTCATCATGGTGGTGACATGTGTGGATGTTCTGTTGTGAGAAGAAATATAAAAGGGCCCTGCAAATCCTTTTCGATTGTCCAGATCCTCAAGCATACCTAAATACAAGCTTATTATGAATAACTCTACTATTGGACTGATTTCCCTTTGAAAACCACTGAAATCGCTCGACCATCAAATTCTGGACGAAAAAGTATCGTCAGAATATTTTGGACTTCAACTTGAAGTTTTCCAGCATACATGACTATTTCCATTTGATTTTTATCCTTTTTGGATATATTTCCATCATTCTCACCACACTCGACATGAGGTCCCAATCTATCAACAGAAATTTCATAAGAAAAGAATCTACCTTGATGTGCACATCTTTACAGGCATAACAGAAGTATGCCGATATCAGCTCCGTGAGAAGTCTCACGGCCATTCCAATATCTTACCCAGCACTCTAGATATATTGTCCTGCTTCATTCGGAGCTGGACAAGTTCTCGAACTTGTGAAGACGCTCCGTCGAGGAGATCCACGGACCACACGACCTCCTTACCAGGCCGGGGCTATTCTACGCCCCGTAGTATCCCTGGCGTCTTACCTCCTTCATATACCCAGCCTACATAGAGTCTCAATATCTGCACTAGATAGTTCATCCATGCTCGTCTTGTGATTTTCTTCTTCTGCTACACGCCATATATCCAATCCTATCGTTCTAGCACGATCTACGCTATCTCAATTCCACTGGCTGCGGACTATAAGCATTCATGAAAGCCGGGTCCTGGAGCATCTGTGATATTCATTCTTGCGATGCGTATATTGCACGTCTCAATGAATGGGTCATATGTCAATCCCGTTTTTTAAGAGAGTGAGTAGGAACTTCCAAAGTTCTGGGACATTCCATTATTTAAAAGCCGTCTTAACAAGTTTTTGTACTAGGTTGGAAGATTCTTCGAGAGTTTCAACGCATGAAGAACTCTGACATCTACGTTGGCGAGAGTTGGATTCGCGGAGCTGAAAGAATTACAGGCAGTAGCAAGTCTCAAAGAATTGGAGAGACCTGTAAATGATGAGTATGTTCCAGTTCCATTCAGAGAAATGAAACAACGAAAGGATAAATAGATACTCTCCGTGAATGTTGATGCGAGGAGAACCAAGTTTCGGCACCAGAGAAACATTGAATTACGATGCTTCCGAACGGTTAAATTCATGATCAAAGAGATATTTCAAGCCTTCCACAACTATTCAAATTAGACTATGATCATTGATTAGTTCCAATGGGTAAAATTGTAACTTGTAAACAATCATTTCCAAGAGGTCCTACACATCGGTGACCCAACCGTATTGGGCATAATTAACCTTAGGCATCAGGCCTCCAAATGACTTGATGTGCGGACAGACATCCATGCTTCTTCCACTCTCCAAGTTCTCGTTCTCAAGCGCACAATGGCGCCCTTCACAACAGGCGCTTGTACGCTTTCATCATCCACGCATTCTCGAACCCTGCTTCTAACATTTGACGTGTTCGGCACCCTTTTCTCTCCAAACCCTCCTGTCCCAGAACAATACGCTGACCGCCCACGATTTGGCCTTTCTCGGAATATTGTCACCTCCAAAAGATCAAGGAAGCCTTCAAGGACGTAATATCAAGCTCATACGAGATTCTGGCCAAATTATGGACGAGCTGACGTACTCCGTGGGAGACATGGCGGGCCAAAACAACGGTGGGGGAAGTCATACGAGAGAGTTTCACGCGCGTTTTGGATTCGGATAGTAGTTAGCCACTTGAGTTTCTGTGTCGGGGATGGTGGACGTGTTGCTTGATAGGTTCGCCAGTGACCAAGGATACGAGCTCTACGAAGATGTTAATCCCTTTTTCACGCGCATGCGCGAAGCTGAGGGCTCTCCGACACGTCGATTTGACCGTATCCCGCTAGGCGGGGGTGTTTAATTCGGATGATCGCGTTCCTTCTGTGCTCCAGGTACTGGGACGGCGGGATAGGAGATTTACGCGCAGATCAAGATCTCTCGAGTATGGAGCTTCCGGGGTTCGAGCAGCGAGAACGACCTGGTCCGGCAAGTCGCTTTCTTCTGATCTGCCAGATATGTCGACCTTGACCTTGTAATTACCAGTTATGAAGCTGGCGAAGGGAAGCCAAACCGACTGATCTTCGATGTCGCGAAAAGGCAAGCTCGTTTATTACCTAGAAATCATATACCGAACCAACCACCCGGTTCGAAATGGGACAGGAGGATGCACTGGATTCGTATACACGTGGGCGACGAGCACGAGAAAGATTATAGAGTGCACTGTAGATGCTGGGTGGGAGAGTTATTTGATTCCTCGAGGGGATAGCAAGGCTCCTCCTCGCGAAAATGATCAACTCCTTGATGGATTTGGTTGAAGAATACCGATTTCGGGCAAAAATTCACCTAGGCTTTAAGATGGCAACAAGGATACCAGACGATTTTAGAGTTTTCGAACGTTTCAGAAAAACTCAAAGATGGTGGCAGGGATGTGTTATCATTCGGGCTCACTTAAATAAGGAATTCCCTAGGTGCTACAAGCTCGCGAAGTGCAAATACTTCGAAGCCGAATATCATTTTTGGAAGTCCACAAGTCAAGAAGGGTGGGGAATCCGAGACATAAAATACTAGTTAAAGGATCTCGCGCAGATGATTATGATTAGAAAGTGTATAACCAAGGATTAATTTTGGAAAAAAAACCTAGTTGTATCAAATGGAATCGAATAAAGATACAGGGTATCAAAAATTGGTAAGAGAATCGATCACTGGTCCATGACCATGCAGGGGACAACCATGGAAATTGCATTGTTTTCTGTCGTGTATATCGATCTCGAAGTCTGCTTTTACTTTTGCCCTTGGCTTTAACTTGCAGCTTCTTGCCACAGTTCGTGCAACTCAAGAGCGATATTGTAATTTGGCTTAAGGAATCTCAATCAGGGTCTGGCTGAAACAGCATGGGGCCTCTTCGAAGCGCTGAACATCCTGAAGAGTTGATGCTAATATTGTGTATTTTGATATTAACAAGTTTACCAGTTGATCCTGGATTTCTGCTTCATGAAGGTTAAGTCCTTGAGGCAGGGAGGAAGGATCACAGAACTGATAAAAGAGAGGAAAGCAGACCGAGGAACGGTATACAGGGTGGATTGGGCTGGGGAGGAGTCTCGTGTAGGCATGACAGTTCTGTGTGCTAGATATCATGGCCTGCAGGGTGACAATG